TTTATATATATATCTATACACATACACAAGTTAGTGTGCAAGTTATTTGGACTTTTCGAATTTTATAATTATCAATTGTGAACCTATCAGGTCCCAGTGCTTTTCCGTTTTTATTGCCCATACTAGCTCTTCCTCCCAAATGGGAGCATCAAGGAAATTTCTTTATTCATAATTTAGTCTTGGAGGATTTGCTACCTTTGAGAGTTCCATTCCTCTCATAGAATCATCTGTTTGAGGGCGTGTCTTGGCCACCATCTTAGATGGCCACGTTATAGAGAGGCTCCTGGACAAGGGGGACAATTTTGTTCCTAAAGTGACAATTCTAATCTGAATGTACCAATTTTAATTGAAAATACAAAAAGTCAACTTAGCACTGATCATGCAGAAGCAAAAGAAAACAGAAAAATCCGTTCCTGGGACGAAGAAAATGGAAGCAGGAGCGGCTGGGGTGAGTAAGGGTTCCCAGGCTCGCTCCCCTGCTTCCAAATCCGGCTCGCGGCTTGTTTCGCCGCTTAAACTTTCGTTGGTGGCGTCGGGGAAATCCCTCCCTACCTCCCTCCCGGTCTCCCGCCCGGTCTCCCTCCCCAAAACTTATGCTTGTGCGGCCGCGACCCGTCCGCAGCTTCCTGAGGGCGGCGGGACCGCGACCGCACTAGCCGGCACTCCTGTGTGCGGCTCAGAGTGCTCCGAGCACTCGGCATGCTCGGAGCACAGTGCTGTGTCTCCCGCGAGCGGCAAGGACCTCCCCACCAAGCCGCTCGCGGTCTCACTCCAGGGCAGCCCGGTCGCTCACTTACAAAAGCGACCGGGCTGCTAGTAAAGGGGAGGGCAGTGCGAGGTCACGCTCCCCGTCGGGATCCTCAGCCTCCAGGCTGTCGGTCCCGGCGGGGGGGGCCTCTGCTGTCCGACCCAAAGTATTTAAAGGGGCAGCAAGGGCTACAGTAAGCCCAGATGAAAATCTTATGGAAATAGGGGCTGAAGTGCTCCAAAAAAGTGCCTTCTCTGCACTACCACAGAGAACACGTTATGTTGCCACAACAAAGATGGCTGACAGTCCAGATACTGTATTTTCCACTTCCAAGATGGCCGCTGCCACCTCCAATATGGCTACTACCACATTTAAAGCTGCGACCTATAATCCTAATATGCCACTTGAATTGGCAGCAGACCTGCCACCGTCAGCTGGCATGATAATTCAACTTATTAAAGATTTGAGAGTTGATTTGAAAAATGACTTTAAAAATGACTTTGACACATTATAT